CCTTGAGTCTCATCAATTTTTACTTTCTCTCAGTTGCCATTCATTTTCGTTTGAAATATTTGTGTTGTTGCTTTGCCATTGTTGCTGTCATTGCTGTTGCTGGTTTTGCTTTTGACTGATTGCTCATTTGGGTGTTGCGTCACTGGAGTAAAATTTTACTTTCATCCAAAGGCTGGGGAAAATCAATGTGTGCAACAACGTCATTGCATGCAAATTACGAAACAAATTTCTTTTCCAACATTTGAATATTAATTTGTAAAATGAGTGTGTGCTTGTGAATGGTGGAGCGCCGCTTCAAAGAAGTGTTGTTTTTGTGGAGAAAATAAATGTCCATATGTACATACATATGAGGTGACAAGACAATAAAAATTTGTTATAAAATATGACAAAGACTTCCATAAATTTTTTCAAAAAATTAAAAAAAAATTAAATCTCAATAAATCTTTTTTGCCCACTTTTAATGGTATGTCTTAACATTGAAAATTTATGGCAACACTACGCGAATATTTTAATGGTTGGCAAGCAGTTCGATCAAGCTGTGGTAGACGGACGACATGTATCCGGCTCTGACCACTTGCCTATCGGCAAATCGAAAAGATTTACTGATACGATGAGGGTTGCATGCTGATGTCGAGAGTAAACAGGCAATGTTGATATCGACCATATCGCAAAGAGAAGCGAAGCGCATGAGCCAACAAAAAAGACTAAGAGCTTAGAAAGCTGGCCGACCATGGTTTTGCTCGAAATTTCTATGAAAAGATGAAGTGACTTAAGTAAGGCAAACTCATGTAGCGCTCAAACAGGTGATCTAGCCCACTGAATGAGATCTAGAAAATCTACAATTGACCAGATATTTCCCATGGATAAGACCCATGAGAAAAAGAAGCGAAGTGAACGAAGATAAGATGAGGTATCTCCTTTCTGTAACTTCCACCCACGAGCTGCCGGCTAGTGATTTAAGGATTTTGTTGCGGCTCTTTCTGTGTCTTTTAGTGTGCTTTTGACTTATACAACGTGGAAATCTCGGGCGAAAATTACTTTAGTGTATTAATATTGCTATTATAAAATTACTTTTTTAACGAAGGCAACTTCCTCCAACTATTCCACTTGATGTGACTCAGCCATAAGGCAAGCATCATGAAAGTAGTTCCCTTAACAAACAACTATGAGGTTATGTTTCTAAAGGTTCCTTCGGTGTCTATCAAATATACAGATCCATCTAGAGAAAAATACTAGTATATACGAGGGGATAAACAACAATTCAGTCAGTTGGCATATGCATATGGAACGATTTTACCGTCTTTGCAGACTATACCTAAGTGGTTCTGAAGATTCCAGACCGGACATTTTACCGTAGCGGGCGAGCCCCGAGAAGGTCAACCAAAATTATCCCCTGATGACGTCACTATAGCTCTGGTGAAGTCCAAAATTGACAAGTAAAGTAGAGAGTTAAGTAATTATCTGGGATAGATGAAGAAATCTGCTCGATGGATATAACGAATTTCAAATGAGGCCCAAAAAGAGACTGAAATTCGAAAATGCTCAGTCAAGCAACTTCAGTAAAGTTTTTACTGGCGAAGCAAAAATAATCATGCCAGTTTACTTAACCCGATCCAAAACCGTAGCTGCTATTCCACTAGAAAAGGGTCAGACGGAAACTGCAAAATGGTACACTGAAAAGTGTTTACCAAAAGTTTTCAAAAATTTGTTGGAAAACAGGAAGGAAGAGAATTTGTGGCGCTACTTTTTACATCATGACAAAGCGCCATCCCTCACTGCTAAAATAGCGAGTAATTTCATTGCGATCTCTGGAATCGAAGAAATACCTCTAGTACAATATTCCCGGATATAGCAACTTGTGATTTCTGGTTATTTCCAAAAATTAAAAAAAAAAAACTTAAAAGGAAAGGTTTTTAATAGCAACGAGGAGATAATTAATGCGGTTAATGTTGAACTTGATAAGCTCAAAAAGCAAGATTTTGAAGACTTTTTCAGGGGCAGATCTTTAGGCTTAAGAAATGCAAAGCGATTATGTAGAGAAGATAAAAAGGACAAAGATTACGAATAAATACGAAAAGAATTTTTTTGTTTGGTTTTTTTTCTGGCCAACTTACCAAACTTTTGTTGATCCCCTCGTATGTAAATACATATAATTAGAGCTTTCATGTAGATAAGTTGCGAAATATATAAGTACGAGTATATGTAAGTACCAGAATGAGGTGAGGTAGGCCCATCAAAATTTATAACGATATGATCAAAACGACGAACTGAGTTCATTCGGCCCTGTCCGTCTGTAATCAACCAAACATAGTAAGCATATAAATTTCCATGCACTGCTTATTCGTCGGAAAATTATGAAGCGCCCTGATAGGCGACTTGTTTAGATATGTATGAGATTTTGGACTACAGTTCTATCAAAAAAGATTATTGAAGATTAAAAGTGCCTTGAGAAAGTACAAAATCAAAAATTTTCAAAAATGTAATTGAACTTTGTCAAAGTGGAAATAAACTTTTTGGGCAATGGAGCAAAAGAAATATCTGATTTGATTATTACCAACAGTGTTGCCAGACCTTTATCAGAGTTGCAGATTAAAGGGCAAAAAAAAGTTAAAAAAGAAGCTTCTTCTAAAAAAGTTAAATATGAGGCTAAATATTACAAGAAACAATTCAATTCATATTTTAATTTTAAGAGTCAGCAAAGTACACTTTGCATTTACTTATCTGTCTAAAAAGAAATTAAAGTGAATTCGAAAATTCGTGCCATAGCTCATAATGAATAAAGTTTTTGAAAATATTTTCCCAAATGAAATGCTTTTGTATCAACTTTCTTTAACCACCTATCGAAATTTGATTACTGTTAAATACTCGATTCGAACTTTTATACTCGTACACAATTCCCGTAACCTTTCCATCCTTTCTATCTTTCCCAAATGTTTAGATTCAGACTGACATAGAAAACGCTTTGATAAGGAGTTTTATGGATTGTGGGCTCAAGGGTATTCACACCGACTTTTGGTGTTTTGGTTGACATGTCTGACAGCTTTTGCCCACATTCATATATGTATGTAACAAAGCATAGGTGAAAATAGTAATTTACTACATCAGAAGTTGGTATGGACAATAATAATAATAAAAGCCAATATTATTTTGGTAAAATTAGGCGATCAATAAAGTATTGAAATTAGGAAAATTATAAAATTTTTCGTTTTGAAAAATATTGTAGCTTTTTGAGTGTTCACGGAAGATTTAAAAATCAAATTAAATCAAAAATTAAAAGAGAATGCCCCTGAGGTTTGTGCAAACTATTCCAAAAGCAACGTTTCTTCATAATAATGTCTAGGGGACTTTTAAGTACAATAACTTTGGAAAGGAATAGTTTGAAATGACAAAAAGTGGCTTCCTTTGGAACAAAAACATTGAAGCACCAAGTCAATCGATTGGATTAAGTGAACCATGAGTTTCAAAGTGATCTTCATCGGAAACTCATTGTTGATGTATTTCCATTTGACAGACTTTACACAAAACGAAAATACAAGTTTAAGCTCTAAAACAACTTTATTTTGTTGCCAAAATATATGTATATCTTTTTTGCGTTTTGTAACCGCTGAAGCGAATTTCGGCCGAGCTCATCCTCCAATTTGTGGTGTGCGTCTTGTTGTTTTTCAAACGAATGGAGGTATTTCATGTCAAAAAATACATTCGGAAGGCTTCATTCCCTACCAGGGGAGGACCGCAGTTAGAAAAATTAATTTTCTATAATTTTGAATGCTGGTCGAACGAGGGCTCGAAACCTGCCCTTAAGAACGGCAGTAGGCAATTGCGGGTGCCCAAACATGTTATTTAAAGTAAAAAGCTATCCTCATACCAATATTGATTTTGTTCCGGTATTTTTTATGCAAAAGATGATCCACACTGTGTAAAAATAATTGTTGAAAATGTCGATGAAATATTGGAAACCCTTTTGTGTCTGCCCGTCATGCGAGCGCTTTTTCCATTTCCCACATGCTAAACATTGCACAACGAAGGTAACGAAAAAAGCTCATGGACCGAATTTCCATCTGCGAATCGAACTTACAGCAGTGTCCAATGAAAATTTCGAAGGACAGCGAGCCGGCTTAAAGGTGTATTAGCTGGCATTAACGGCCAATTCGGTTTTGTTGTGTGTTTGGTGGTATTGACAGCGAATCATCCACTATAACCTGCATCCCTTCGACCAAACTCTTAATTGGGACCAGTGCCGTCAGCAATTGGACCGTCTCAAGAAAGCAATCGCCTAGAAGCGCCCGGGACTTGATTGAGAGGTTCTTATGTATTCACCTTAAAGTCCACACCTTCCAGCACCAAGTGATTAAGTGATCTGTTCCTGTCTATGGCAAATGGTTTAGTTGGTGAAGAATGGCCTCAAGCGAAGCCTCTGAAAATCGAGAATTCAAGTTTTTTGCCAATAAGAACAAAGGTTACTAAGAGAGCGGCATAATGACATTACCGTCAAAATTGGACATAGATCAGATAATTCTAACTACTGGTGAATAAAGCCTTCAATTAAATTCAAAAATAATGCATTTCTTGTTACTTGACCAATATAATTATATACACATGTATGTTTATATATGTATTTTTTTATACAGCTTTTGCGTATATCGCATTAAAGTACATATATAAATACAAAAGTTTTTCTCATAGGGTTAGGATATGTTGGTCGAAGCATATGTACGTACATTTTTATGTATGTATATATGTACGTGTATGCATGTTGGTAGAAGAGTACGAGTATTTCGGTGCGAGGCGATATGCGAGTTGCGCGTTGATACGCAACAAGGTCATTGGAAAAATCGTTAAAGCAGTCGACGAAATTGCCTGAGTATACATACAAATTTTTTTCACTATCATTTTCTAAAAACTTTTACACACTTTTAGAGCCAGAAAATTGGTTAAAAAACTAATAAAGTTATCATAAAGAAGGAAAATTACATAAAAATTTTATTAAGAGCTGCACTTACCAATTCAAAATTATATTTTTCAACGATATTTCATCTGCAGTGGAGTTTTCGAGCCACAGAAAAATCATTTTTTCTTTCGTTTCAACAGAATTTACTTAAAAAAAAAAATATTTTGCTTCACCTAAATCATAAGCGAAGCTGCTAGAACATATAAAATTGCACTAAAAAATTTCTTCCTTGCTTTTGATTAAAAAGAATTTTGCACTTTTTACACACACATATGCAATTGGTTGAAATTCTCTTTTTCTTTTCTCCTCCCCGCGCTTTCTATGTGAATTTTAACTATTTCTTATAAATATTTTTATTCAGTTTGCTTGCAGCTCAATTTTACAGTCTCATTAAATATCTGTAGTAACCTGTATATGCACTTACATATGTGTGTCTATATACATACATATGTACACATAAAAGAAAATTTTCACACTTTTGGTTGTTTTCCGCTTTTAGGTCTTCACTTCTCCAGGTCTGCACAGCAACTGATAAAATTTCAGGTCCATGAAAATGGTCATAGCTTAAAAAGCCTTGGGGTCGTGTTGAAAGCTCAAGCGATTGTGTTGAGTTTTTCCGAAATTCCTGGAATTGGAAAATTTCCAACAACTTGTTGCCGTCTTCCAGCTGGCAGTGCGCAGGATTTGTTTTGGTATTTTTAAGCAATTACAATGGCTTGTTTACAAACATTGCACGGCTGTTTGGTAGCAGAGCACGTGCATTTGCATTAATAGCGCAGACGCTGATTTCGCCGGCCAATCTGTTGTGATTGTGAGCTTTCCAATTGGCAGCACAGTTATGTGCTCATGCATATTCTTACAAATGGATCTATATACATACATATATGTATATGTACATACACACATATCTATGTTTGTAAAAAATGAAAAAAAAACAGTTATTGTGATAAGTGACAACTAAGAAGCGATGTTTTGATAGCAACCGTTGGGTCAAATTCCTGGCTCAGAGGATTCAGGATAATTTTAGATTTATTCAGTTGAATAAAGAAAGAATTGTTGCTTTATAGCGGCTTAGACAATTTTTAGCCGATCTCCTCCTCCGATATCAGGTTTGCGCCCTCTAGGATTTCAAAGAAAATAGGGATCTACAGCTTTTTCCCCAAGCCGCCTCTAAACGGCTAAAGAGCTTATGAAAAGCTCCTTATTTTATTTCAGAAATACTCTCGGAGGGGTGGAATTTTCTTGCCGAGGGAAAATCGAAATTTATTCCGCCTTAAGCCATAATCGTTATTGATATTACCTGCCGGGAGGCACTTAGTTCGTTAGAGGAACTTAGTTCGCATCTTTAAACTGGAAAAAATTAGTAACTAGCGGCAGGACACAGCGTGGTAAACAATTGTAGAAAGAAGACCTTAAGCTTGCTAGCACGTCAACATCTTTTAGACAATGGCAAAGTTGGCTTATAAAATTTAGTTTTATTTTACTCTTTAAATGAATTTTCTATAACTTTTGAATGTCGTTGCTTATCAGGATTTGAGCCCGGGCCTCCCAAATGGCATTACGTAATGCTAACCACTCGGTTACCGCGGTCTTACGATAGTATTTTTAAATGGCCCATATAAAACTGATTAGATGCGGAGTTAGAAGTGTTCACCGTCCGCTTGAGGACAAATAGTTTTGGATGCTTTTCACTACATCTGGCTCATTCGGAAATCATGGTTTACGATAGTTAAAAGATAGTCGCTGTTCGTTTAGCGGTACTTTTCAATAGAAGCAGGATTTAGCTGACTTACTTGTTAGGAGATTTTCAATGCAAATTAGATGATAAAGATCCCCAAGTTACCAAAGAAAAGTAGTCGGATCAGACAATCCGCACTATAAATGTGGTGGAGAGGACTAGAATAACAGCATGCAATTCCTCCCTAGTCGTTTCTTATACTTAACTTACTAAAAGTCAGAGCCTTAATTTCGTCCCCGTCATTCTGTCCTTTTTTGTTAACCTGATGAAGAGCTTCGCCGTTAGTTTCGTTGGTTAGAAGATTAGCTCTCTGGCAGAGGAAGTTCGAGGATAGTCATCCTAGGGCAAAGAAACTTCCACAGAAGGAGAGTTAAAAAGTTTGACCTTGAAACTCTAACGATAGTCGCATGCCCATCTAACAGTTATTTTCAGCTCCTCACCTCCGTGATAAAGCGTGTCAATGGTTTCCAGTCGACTCTCACTGAGGCCATTTTCTTCAGATGTTGACTTGTATAATTATAATAACTTAACTACTAGAGAAAGAAGATATTTATATCAGTCAAATAGTCTGGCTTCTGCTTAAGTCGAAGTGATAAAATACAATTTAATAGCCCTGAAGAGAAAATTACCTACAGCTAAATCCAACTCTCCTGGTTTGGAGGCTGCTCGACTTTCGATGAATATAAAAGTTGATTGATTTGTTGCATTTGAATATAAAACTCCTTTTAGGCGCATAGTAAAATATACATTTATTTAATTCATCTTAATTACAATCAATAATTAACTTTATACATAAACCGTCAATTTATAAAAATTTATATAAACACTTTACACCCAGAGATTATGGTTTTTAGGTTAGAGTTAGTGAAAACTCTTAAATGCACTTTATATGGTACTTAACGCAGGTGATTAATAAACAAATATAATATTTATTAATTACACATTTTGACTAAATTATTTGTAAATAAATGCAGCAAACAGCCTTTCTTGTTGAAATTGTTTTTTTTTTTTAAGATATCGTCCAGATTCCCTTAAGTATTTAATTAAGTACAAATAATGCTGGATTCTCCAAATATTGCTTCCATACATTCGAAAACTTTGCCATTGTGACGCCATCAATAATACGATGATCTGCACACCAGCTGACATTCATCACATAAGCTTTAACAATCTCATCATTTTCATCAAATCTCGGTACGGCCTAAGTGGGAAGAAATTACAATAGTTTTAGTATGTACATATATACAGAGAACTGATGACTCTTAGATAATAAGGTGGTATTTTTAAGGCACTACCTTTGTGCGTCCCATGGCGCCGATAGCCACTTGAGGCGCCATAATACATGGATGGGTGTATGTACCGCCAACCTAAGGCAATTTGTTATTAGTATTTAATAACGCAGATATGTACTTTTTCTTTAGCAACTCACCACACCGATATTTGAAAGGGAAAAAGTGCCCTCCGCAAAATCTCGAGGTGTTAAAGTACCCTTACGTCCTCTTTCGATTAATTCGTTCAAGTCCTTAGCAATGTCCAGAATACTTTTACTTTCACAATTCTTTACGTTTGGCACTACCAAACCCTGGGGCGTATCTATGGCCACACTGATGTTGTGAGCAGCCTTATATATCACTGTCTCCTTCTCAACGTCCAACGAGCTATTCAGAATTGGATATTTGGAAAGCGCAATAGAAGCAGCCTTGATGCAGAAGGGCATGAAAGTCAGTTTATTTATGCCACGGTCGCTGGCCACTGATTTCAATTGATTACGAAAATCCATAAGCTTGGTCATATCTATTTCATCGCTGTAGGCAAAATGTGGAATTTTCTAAAGTAATTTAAAAGTTAGCTAATCATTTATAGAAATTAATTTGTTTAAGAAACCATACCAGACTCTCGGACATAGATTTTAACATAGCCTTGGGTACGCCCTTCAACGGCTCAACGCCATCAACAAGCGGAGTAACGACAGCACCTGTTGCCGTTTGTACTGCTTTTTCCGCCTTCGCGGCAATTGTTGGATGCGGTATATTAGTTCCGACTGGCACTTGTCCTAGATATTCAAGTATATCTCCCTTAAGGACACGCCCCAGTTTTCCTGTAGCTGGCACTTTGGAGAGGTCAATCTTATTTTCCATTGCTAAGCGACGTACAGCGGGCGTCGCAAGCGTTATATGTCGCGCTACGTCTTCTTCGCTTGCTACTTTTCCCTCATTGGTGGGTGGCACAGACGCTGCGTTGCCTGAGCCGACTTGCGCTTCTGAGTCTGAACTAGATTCCGAATCAGAGTCATCCGCATCATCATCTTCGACATCAAAATCCAGCAAAGGTTTGCCGACAAATGCTATATCATCTGCTGGATGATGGATTTTTACGATTTTACCATCATAACGGCTTGTGATTGTAACGGATGCTTTATCTGATTGCACTTCGCAAAGGTCGTCGAACTGCTCAACGGTATCGCCGACCTTGACAAACCTGTAAAATAAGCCGAATTTGAAATAGACAAAACAGATATTAGAGAATATTAAAGCTCACCATTCCTTCACAGTTACTTCCCTAATGCCCTCACCAATGTCACTAAGTTTAAATGACAAAATCTTATCCATGCATGGCGTCAGGTGCAAGCCACGAGCTTGCGTTGCATTCACGGGCTGCTGAGAGGGAGAGAATATATGGATTATATAAATTTACTCTTATTCATATCTTCAGAAAATAAAAAATTCTCACAATTTTTTTTTTGCGAATTCAGTCTTTCAGTAAAATAAATACATATGTATGTATTTATGAGGCAAAATGCGCGGTATAGGAATATATATGTACATATAATCGAGTTCATCCACTTTGATCATAATGAGACCAATGAAGTCATTTTTGTTAGTTTTAGTGAATAAAGAATAAAACAGAATGGCTAATCATAACTGTTAATAAAACAGGGATAAGTTAATATAAATTGTTTGACTTTTTCGATTTCGGGATCTAAATTTTTTATATTACTACATATTGTTCAACTAATGTATGTAGGTATGTATGTACATATGTTGTCTATTTATACATATTTTTGCAGAACCCGTTAAAGAAAACTTTAAATCGAAGTACTATTGCAAAGTTCAACATAAACAACATTAACAATTATTTAATTAATTTTTAATCATGTTTATTTTGTTGAATTAGTTTACTCATTTTCCTATTTAAAAAAATAAAGCATGTAATACAAATGCTCCGTTATGTAAATAAACCCTTTATATGTATATCCTTTGTATCGGATTTCCGCTCTTTTTGTTGACAAAAATCATTAATATTCCTGTGATCTTTCTGCAGATCAAGGCGAATTTATGGAAGATGAAGTTGTCAGACAATATGATTGCTTGTTCTTCCTTCCATTTTAACAAATTACACAAACAAAATACATGAGCAATACGTTGTGACATTTCGAACGTTCGTTTACACTAACAAAATACATTGAACGATTTTCGTTTTTGACTTTTCGAAACTATGGTTACACAAACAAAATTCATGGGATTTTTGTTTTTGTATTCTTACTACTACCTTGCGTGAATTTGTCCTGAATATCACTGCCTCTACTCTCCTTTTGAGGTCAAAGAGAGTTTAAAAAATACTCCGCTTGGACTCCATTAGGAGCTCAAAAGGAGTAATCGCCCGTAAGGACATGCAATGCTACTCCCCTTTGGGTAAGGGGTTCAAGAATTTACCAGCGGTAAGGCATGCCTGTCGCAAGAGGCGACTAAAATCCAATAGTTCCCGCGACAGTCGGGGATTTTTATCCGCCCAAGAACTGTCACTGCCGCAACATTCCCTAATGGGGCAATATTTTTGTGGTTACAACAACAACAACATGCAATGCTAAAAAGGAGTAATAAATACATGAGGCTCGGGAATTTGTTGAGTAATCCTTTATTCGCAAAGAAGCGATCTAAGAGTAATTGTTCAATTATCTTTGAACATCTTTATTCGTAAGCTGATACGGAAAAGTGATTAAAATATAAAAATATAAATACAATATAATAAACATAAAAATGCACTCAAGTGCATACACATACACACATACACACATACACACATACATGTATATTAGGACTATGTTATCTAAACTCATTTGTATGCACACATAAAGTAATTGAGTGTCAATAAGGATAAATTTAAGAAATTGTATATAAAGAGAAAATTTAATAAACTAGAATTAGAATGAATTGATTCTCCCACAAANCTAAAAGAGATGAATTTAAGTTCGATATTGACTTAAAAGAAAATCAGAAAATCACAAAACGACAAATAATGTCTAATTTAGCCACTATATTCGATCCACTTGGGTGGCTATCTCCAATAACTATTGTCTTAAAACTATTTGTGCAAAATCTTTGGACACAGAAGCTAACTTGGAATGAAGAATTATAGATGAGTTGAAAACGGAATGGTTTAAATTTATAAAAAATATAAGTGCACTACATAATATACAAAACCCTAGATGGATGCAAACTTTCGAAATGATAAAAATAGAGCTGCATGGTTTTGCAGACGCATCAGAAAAAGCATACGCGGCAGTGGTGTATATTAAATATGATGAACAAATAAACATAGTGGCAGCAAAAAGCAAAGTTAATCCGATGAAAAATAGAGAAAACCTTGCCAAAACTAGAGCTTTGCGCAGCTCACCTATTGTCAAAATTAATACATCGAATATTAATTACGATCAAGCAAAGAGCGAAAGTGTACGCGTGGAGTGATTCTACGATCACTTTATGTTGGATAGAAAACAACAAAAGTAAAGACAAATTTATTCGAACTAGAGTCAACGACATTAAAGATTTGATTCCAAGTGCAAAATGGAATCATGTGGTTTCTAAAGAAAATCCAGCAGACATAGCATCAAGAGCAATTTCACCCAATGAACTACAAATGCAAAAATTGTGGTGGAATGGTCCAAACTGGTTGAGAGCATCAGAAGACAAGTGGCCACAATCAACTAGCGAAAAGACAACATGTGCAGTAACTGGAGTGAGTAAAATTAATCAAGATCATCCTTTAGACTCGCTTACAGAAAAATATTCCAGTTTTCAAAAACTAATTAGAATTTTTGCATATGTATTGCGATTTAAAAATAAATTGCAAAAACTTAAATTCTATCCGCAATATTTAACATCACGAGAATTAAAAGCAGCAGAAATAGAAATTATCAAGCGACATCAACACAAAGAGTTTGAAAATGAATTGGAAAAATTGTTAAAAAAAGCAAATTTAAAGCAACATAGTAAGTTAGCAAACTTGTATCCATTCACCGATAGCGAAGGTGTGTTGCGAGTAGGTGGTAGGCTGAAGAACTCAAACATCTCATATGAGCAAAAACATCCAGCAATTAATGGAAGCAACAATAAAAAGAAAGTACTGGGTAATAAATCTTAAAAAAGGAGTTAAAAAATGTATTCGACATTGCGTAAAATGCATAAGATATCGACAAGAAACTTCGCAACAAAAAATGGGAAATTTACCTGAGATGCGAGTTTCACAGTCTTCACCTTTTACACATACCGGTGTCGACTACGCCGGACCATTACTTATAAAGTGCACCAAAAATAGAGGTATCAAAGCTCACAAAGGATACTAGAAGAGGAAAAAGTTCACATATGTATTCAGATAATGGTACAAATTTTATTGGAGCAAATCGAAGTATGGAATCTTAATTTAAAAACGCTCTCAAAAATAATTGCTCTCTAGTCCCAATATTAACAACCGAAAAGATTCAATGGCATTTTATTCCGCCAGCAAGTCCTCACTTCGGAGGTATTTGGGAAGCAGGGGTAAAATCAGTAAAATACCACCTAAAAAGAGTCATTGGTGAAACCAAACTGACTTTCGAAGAAATGTCCACGTTATTGTACCAAATAGAAGCAGTACTGAATTCACGACCATTGTATACACTAGGGTCAGAAATAGAATATAACAATGTGCTGACACCTGGACATTTTCTTATTGGCAGACCGCTATTCGATATCCCAGAAGTTACACAAGACATGGAAAAGGTAGGGACTTTAGACCGTTGGAAATTTATTCAAAAGTTAAAGAGAGACTTCTGGAATAAATGGAAGGATGAATATCTTGTTACATTACAAAGACGAAATAAATGGAAAGTCGATCATTTAAATATAAAAGAAGGCCAAATAGTGATTATAAAATATGAAAACACACCCCCATCACGATGGCCGTTGGCCAAAGTAATACAAGTACACAAAGGTACGGATGATAAAGTTCGCGTTGCTACAATAAAAACAAGTGATGGAACTATGAAAAGATCAATACACAAGTTGTGTCCATTACATTGTATTCAAGATGTCGAAGATGATACTGAAAATGAAAAAGTTAGAGCTAACTATACTTTCATCAAATCCTGCACTAATGATTTAAATAGACCTTCTCGGCCAACAGTTGGAATATTACTGCTATTATTGATAATTATAGCAAAAATAATTATTATAAAAGGAGAAGCATCAGCAAGTAAAAATTATAATTCGCAAACTACCCTTTCAAATAATACAGCTATGTACTAGGACTCCTACGGAAGAGTAGATAACGTAGCGTCTCGTTGGAACTTAATAATATATTATAATCTGGAACCTTACTTCAGAGAAATTGAAAGTATACCTATTTACTTAAAACAAATGAAGGACTTATGTCCAAAAATGATTTACTTTTCAGAACAATGTGAGATAATAACGAAAAATTTAAATAATAAATATGAGCTATTAAAATCCAATAATCAACTTCTTGTGTACACAAAAAGAACTAAAAGAGCGCCGTTAGAAATGATAGGCTCACTTTATCACTTACTATTTGGACTAATGGACAGTGATGATAGAGAAATGATGGAACTGAACATGAAAAGCTTACTTGAAAACCAAAACGACATTGCAAGCATGATTAAAAAACAAACATCACTCATCGACGGTACACTCAACGTGCTCAGAAAAACTACAACAGGTGTCAATAACCAATTTATTAAAATTGATAATCAAATAAATAACATCAAAGATTTAATGACAAATGCTATTGACGTCTTCAGATTCTCCACGACATTTCAATTAATCACAATGCAACTACAAACAATACTAAATGAATGTGAGAATACACAGACAGCAGTAAAAAATATGCTGATTGATGTTAATCACCAGCGAATAAATCCATCCCTAATTAAACCTTCTCAGCTTGTTAAAGAAATTCAAAATATAAAGCTTAAACTTTCATCGAAATTGAAATTACCTGGCGAAGGAGAAAATGAATTGAAAGAAGTATTAAAAACTATGACTGCAAAAGGAATAATTGTAGACAAGAAGTTAGTAATTAACACCGAAATACCCTTACTACAAGCCCAAATGTCAGAAGTCTTCAGACTAATCGCGGTACCACTAAATAAAGGAAATATGACTGTAGTTGCTAAACTTAAATCCGATTTGATAATTTTTAATTTCGAATTTGATGCTTACCTTTTATTTAATCAAGCGCAATTAAATAGATGTCAAAAAACCAATTATGACCATTACATTTGCTATGGAGATTGGCCCTGGACCTCAGCTACCGACAACTCGTGCGAAGTATCTGCTATTAAACATACGAACACCGCCAATTGCAAGTTTCAACAAATTCAAAACGGCGAATTTTGGGTCGAATTGCATAAGCCCAATACATGGATCTTTAAGCTGAATAATATAGTGAGAGTCAGCGTGAGCAGTGGACAATCCATAGCGAAGTGGATAAATTTAGCACCTCAAGGACATCCGAAACCTTCTTCGATCCACAAACAGCTTGGAAAACAACCATTGATGTCATAAAAGATGAAAATATCAAGCCTTTCCACTCCTCAACAATCAACCATCAACAAGAACTCCGCAATTTACAACAAAACTTAGATGAATTCAAAAAGCAACGACTAAATTTAAGAGGATTAGACTTCCATCATGTAACAGGTCATACATCTTTAATATTAAGCATATTAATCATAATTATTTTATTAATATTATACATTAAATTCATTCGAAAGAAAGAACCAAATGTAAAAATTCACTTTGAATCACCTATAAATAATAGTCGTCTGCAAGATGTTCAACTGTAAAACAATTTGAACATATTTTATTACAGTCCACTAAATATTATTTTCTTTTCCCTCGGCAATATGTTTAATTATCTTTGAACATGTTTATTTGTAAGCTGATACGGAAAAGTGATTAAAATATAAAAATATAAATACAATATAAACATAAAAATGCACTCAAGTGCATACACATACACACATACACACATACATGTATATTAGGGCTATGTTATCTAAACTCATTTGTTAGGCACATAAATTATACACGTAAATTAAGTAATTGAGTGTCAATAAGGATAAATTTAAGAAATTGTATATAAAGAGAAAATTTAATAAACTAGAATTAGAATGAATTGATTCTCCCACAAAGCAAATCTTTGATTCCCCCCACCAGCGGTAAGGAATTTCAGACACTACTTTGTGGTCTTTACAGTAATCTTTGAATTATCCAAATTTTTACTGAATATTTTTTTTGCTAATTACATCTATTACGTTTCAGTATTATTTGTGTTAAATGCTACCAAAATTGATCTTGTGTTAATTGTTTGCCAAAAAAACTGGAAGTGATTATCCCCACTCAGTTCCAAAAATGTAGAGCTCTTCACGACTAAATGTTATGTCCTTGTTTCGAGATTGTTCCAAAGTTGTTCTTTACCAATCTTCAACGGTTCCTACCACTATTAATAGTCATTATTCGGTATAATACGAGCTTAACTCCCCATACATGTATGCAATTCTATTGGGTACAAAGTATTTTTAAGCGTCAAACGTCAAAATATTTATATTCGAAATGTATACATACATGTTTGTATGTATACAGATATATAAATATATACGCTTTTATGTTATGTAATTTCATAAGTTCTTCCAATAGCTAATTTATACTTCTATAAAATATTATATTGCACACATAAGCAAATATTCGCCTTTTATTATTTATAATTATATAAAATGATCGCTATATCAGTGTAATAAACACATACTTTACGACACACTTTGAACGAAAGCGGCAAGTAATTTCTCAAAAACAATACACTACGATTTCCCCAGATTATGGAAGACATATTTAAGAAATATATATAATTTGTTTTTTATGCCGCCGAATTTAATTTAATATTTAAAAATAAAACAAAGTTCTTTAATATACACTAAATACATGTAATTAAAGCTACTTAAACAAAAAAAACGTGCACAATTAAGCAGAAAAATAAAGCAACTAGTTCTTATCAATAGTTGTCAAATTTGTTTGTTGCTTTTGCTAACTTGCGAAACGTCAGATACAATCTCAAGATCGCCGATCTAATAGTAATAAGAGTTTTACACTACATATAGACGGTGTCTTACTGTGCGATTGCGATTAAATACTTTTTGCGTTGAATTGCTAAAATTTTTAAATTCAGACCTACTTCTTTGCCTGATTCATGCACGCTTCAATAGAACCACAATCTACAAATGATCTAAAAACGGGTTCACGTGTACATGTATTCTATTCTGGCAAATTCAGTAGCACCGTGTTACAGTAAGCATCCCTGACAAAGTCACACTGCAAACGCCGTATATTGAGCTAGTACAACCAATCCTAATCTATTACTTTGGGCAAACCAAAACAAACTAATTTCAAGTCAGCACGTGAGAATTCTAGTAAAAATGGTAAGTAAATTATTTGTTTTATATCATATTTATTTAATAAAGAAATTATTAATTATTATAACAGACGAACCTACGCAAAGAACTTGAAAAATGTAAACATCCCAACAGTCGCAAAACTAAAGCGTTGAGCAGAAAAGCACGCCGCCAAAATAACAAGCACAAAGCTCGTATGGGGCATGCTATCAAAAGTAATATAATGGGTGAGAAGCTCAGCTGGTTTCTGGGGCACATTGATGAAGACCGTACCCAGCCATTGATGCCACAAGAATTTGAAGATCTAATAGCACTGTATCTTAAACGTTTCGATGAAGAGTTGGCTCAGATTGCACTTAAACAGTCTATAAGCAAAAATCGATCGAAACAACATGCGGCCAGAGAGGATGTTATCAGAATAACATTGGAAAAAGAGCGTAGTGAATATCAAACGGGTGGTATGGGTAAGAATTATAAATAAAATAGTCTTGTTCCTTTTTTTTAATTTTGTTTTATATTTCAATAGAACTCCTAAATCTCTGCGATCCCGTTAAATTTAAGTCACTAATGGACTGGGATGGTAGTGCGCTTAGTGTGCAACATTTAAAGTTGGATCTTGTCTCTTATAAAATGTTGCAAAGCTTAAAAACGGCAAACCCTTTAAATGATAATGGTGACAATGCGTCTACTAGTAATACTGCCGAAAGTAGTGCTAAACCCGAAGGAATGGAAACCACTTGAGGAAATACGCTTTACTGTTATTTATAATTTTCAATGTAATAAAATATTTCAGTCAAAAGTCTTGTATTTTTTATATCGACAACTAATCGCCCCTTATTATCGGCTCACCATCGAGTTTTTTTAACAGAGGCAGACGGCGTATGGCTTCATTTCGGAAAACCAACTCATCCATATTTTCGTTGAGTAAATTACCCAAAAATGATATTTCCTCCAATTTAGGCGCTAAGGCCATGCGATTAAATTCGGCCCAATCCTTTATAAGATTGTGTGATATATAAAACACGCGCAGTACCTTCATGGATTCAATGGGTTTGATTTTTTCAATAATATTATAGCTGACCCACAATTCTTCCAAAGTTTCTCCAAGTACTTCCTGCCAAAGTTTATTCTTTAAAATAAAAAAATTCAAGTTCAACCACTATTAACTTACAATGCCGTTAATATTCTTCAAGTTATTTCTAGCCAAAGAGAGTATGCGCAGATTTTTAAGCTGATTTATACCGGTTATTTTTTCAATCGCATTAGAAGAAAGGCTTAATTTACGACAGTTCACAAGCGTATTAAGTGTACTGTCCATTTTTTCGATCGGAGGGAATTGAAATTGTAAACCAATATCGGTGACGGTAACTGGATCTTTGCCATTTTTCTCCTCCCAAATTCGAAGAGCGTCCTTGATAGCGGTTGGCTTTGCCATTTTTAAGTATGATTTCTAAACTTTTTGTTGCTGAAAAAAAAAAAATATTTTTCAAAATTGAAAATATCTGCTATCTTAATATTATTGAACAAAGTGTGATATAAACAATAGAGAGTTCATGTACGGAAGCTTCACAGGCAACAAATTTTAATCATCAACGGTTTTTAAATCATCATTTATTAATAACTGCAATGAGTAGTAGTAGTTAGAATAGTGCGGCCACTCATTGCATACAGACCATACGATCGATGCCGGGGTTAGCTCTGCATAAATAGGAGGGCAATAAATCCCAGTTTCAATATCACAATACCCAGATCCTACTAGAACCTGTTTTATTCATTAGAATTAACACACCATTTTTACCCAATCAAAGGTGTAGTTTTTACTATTTTGTTTTGTTAGTGTTTTGTCGGGTAAACAATCAGAGAAGTTTTACTTTTTAAAGCTATTTAGAATTGAAGTACCCTAATGTTACAATAAGCTATTTGCGACATCTATTGGTAGGCATTTTTAAACTTAGAAAACCAAAGCAAAGAACGTATATTAATTATAATATTATATTAATAATATACGTCCTTAGGTTTTGTTTTGTAGTACATACATTTTATTACAAAAATCTATTCATTGTACTTTTAAAAAATGGGAAACACGCCATTCAGAGAAGTAACACCAAAGAACGCATATTAATATACGTTCTTTGGTTATACGTTCTCTGTACGTTCTCAGTGTCATTGGTTACTATTGTGAACTGTTCTATTCTGATAGTGATTCTGTCAGCTGGTGAAATATAGAGTTAATTTGTTTTATTCTGCAATACAAAAAAATTTATTTAAAAAATCTACTCATTGTAGCTTTTAAAAAATGGGAAACGCGCCAGTCAAAGAAGTAGCACAAGCAGCAGCCACAAATGTCATTGGCGGCACACCTCAGCCAGCTGAAAAGCCCAAGTGTAAGGCGTGCTGTGCCTGTCCGGAAACTAAGAAAGTTCGGGATGCCTGGTAAGCTAGAGTGATTTTTCCAAATATTTTAAAGTTGCATAACATACTTAATGTCCTTTACATGTAGCATCGTAGAACGGGGCGAGGAGAATTGCACTGATTTGATTGAGGCACATAAAAAATGTATGCGAGCGCAGGGTTTTAACATATAAACAAACACAAATACCCAATAACACTATCAAAACCAATGTTTACTTAAACTATCTGAAGGTCTGGAATGTGGTCCATGATGAAGAATAATTGGAATGCATGCGCTTATAGCTGTGTAAATTATTTTACATTCTATTTGTTACTAGTCTTATTATGTAATCAGCATAAATGTGAGAGAATTGTTATCATTTTAAGTGGAATATAACGAAATCAATAATTTAAAGCAATCTCAACATTAGATCGATTTTATTTTAAAGAAAAAGAAAGAACATATCTGCAGTATTCTTTTTTATGTACATTTTTAAATGTGTTTCAAAACATCCAATGCTACAGCGCAGGCCATATAGATAGTTATGGCAAAAGCAACGCCGAAAGCAATAACGCGTGATGGTTGTGGAACTGGATAGAAAGCATAGACCAGTGTGTGCAATATACGAGCAATAGCTACAACACGGAACAGGATGCAAGCCACAGTTGGATCTGGATTTGTGCATATGTAGAGTATAGCCATAGTAAAGTATGGCAAAATATTTTCCATGTCATTGCGGTGTGCGCTACAAAAGAAGATATGTGAAGCGCAGGAGAGCATTTATTAAAGTCGTCATGAACTTACCGACGCACCCGCTCTACATGGGGATCATCGAATTGTACCTCAATATCTTTGAAGAATAAATCTTCTTTATTGGGAAAGACCTAAAAATAGATGAAAGTTTGAGAAAAAGTGAAATTCAAAATTAACTATTAGACATATTTTTTAACATATTTACATAATTAATTATGAATTATTTGTTTTTGGTTTGCACACGCATCTACAAATATGCAAGTGAATTTATGAAAATGATTTTACCTTTCGTAAACAGCAATGAGGCAGGAGGCACAGAATCTGTAAATTTTAAACAAAAAGTCCTCATCGTAATTATATAATGAATATGGCTAAGTATGATATGATATTATTCTAATGTGTAACCTGATTCTAAATTAAAAGAAAAAACCTAAAATTCCGCAAACATTTAACCCCAAAGCGAGTGTTATTATTTTTGAAACGGCTATGTGCTGTTTTCCAACTGCGTATTTGTATTTATACACACATTCGTATGAACATACATATATTTCAAGCCGGTTTGAATCCATTCAAAGTTCAGTAAGTAATTATGTCTATATCTAATGTCTAATATGACCAACACCACAAGATGAATAACACGCCTCGCATAGATTTCTTCTTGAACATTGCATATAAGGTTACCTTATTCCGGAATCGTTGCAGTGCTGTCAACAATGACATGAGGAGCATTTTAATCACCAAAACGCTAGCCCAGAAAAGGAAACAGCAGAAGACAGGATTCTCTAGCGTTAAAAAATTTCCTGACAGCTTTTCATCCATCGTTGTTGCTGAATTTGGCGTGTTCAATGTAGCTAATGGTGGCACTGCACTTGTTGTTGTTGCCATTATTGAATTTTTGCATGCAAAACCTTGCTTCCTTTAAGTTAAATTAAATATTTTAACCGCGTAAACAACTGCAAAGCTTTACTGAAACTTCGCGAATGGCTTATTGCCGTTAAGCTGTGGCTCTAGAATATGCACAGCCAAATAGATATCAAGTTTAAAGGAATACATACATACATACATAGTTAGAACTCGTTTACCTTCAGTTCAAAATTCAAAAAAATACTAAGTTAGATTTATGAATTTATACATATCTATGAAAATACGTATGTACATACATATATACATATTTATGCATAGAAGAAAGAGTATAGAGTATAGAATTTTAAAGAATTCTACTTAAGAAACTTGTTGTGTTTTGATTTTTAAATTGAGGAAAAATATCCAATTTTTACAAATAGTCTTTTATAAATTTTTTTCTCTATGTACATACAGAGAAATGCATGTATGTATGAATGTATATATGTATGAATGTATAAATAAAACTAAATCAAAATCAAGAAACAAGAAATATAAGTTTTTAACCGAGCTGAACGCAAGCATTTACATACATATGTACATATCTATTGGCAGAGTTATGTCAAATTCTCTCACTATTTAAGATTGTCTTTAGCTTTCTCACATGGGTATATTGCTTGAGGAGACAGTCAAGATAATTTTACTTAGTAAAGGTTGCCCTTAGAAACATACCCTTAAATGTTCTACAACAATGTAAGACCTTTCCTTCTAATGTGAGGTGGCATCAAGTGAAACGCTGATCCGACAGAATATTGTTGCTACGGTTCCCTAGTCGATTTTATATTTCCGCCATCTGAGCAAATATGCATTGATTAAGTGTGCTTTCAAATACGCGGTTCCTCAGCCTCTACGGCTGCCGATGAATATCCATAATGACGACCTTGATAGTTCCCGCAACAGTTGGGTCTTTATACCAGAGCGACCCGGATTTTCATCCGGCCAAGGACTGTCACTTCCGCAACATCCGAAAAAAAGTACTTTTGGGGAATATATTTGTGGTTACAACAACAACAACCTTGACCATTTTGCGAATACCTGACATGTTGAAACTGTATTGTTGTTTTTTTTTTGTTGTAGCGGCGTTAAAACTGGGTGAAACCAGCCGGCAAAGGAGAAGACTCTCCTGTAGAGTGTATCTGTTCTTTCCCCAGTAGAGAATTCAATTGAAGCCTTGCTGTTCACATCCTTCGCACTCCATCTGAGCCTCTCAGCACATCGGCATGGCTTCCGTAAAGTACACAGTACCTCAACCGCATTTAACGTCACGCATTTAAAAGCACGTAGGTAATGAAATGGCTCAACCAAAACCGGACCTGTTAGCACTGGACCAGTCGAAAGTTTAACCTCGCAAAATTAGTGCGTTACTATCAACAATTGAGGATTCCTGTTATTGCAAAAATATTCCCCAAAATAGTTTTTGGGGAATGTTGAGGAAGTGAGAGTCCTTGGCGGTATAAAAACTTGACCGTTGTTAATTTTAGATTTTCATCGTCTCTTACCACAGGCATGTCTTTGTGATGCAAAATCCTTCAGCCGAAAACCCACAGTTTCGTAGATCCCTACTCCGCCCGAGGTTTTCTTTTCTGATCTCATATGACGATTATTGCTGGATATTGGTGTCTGGCCAGGTAGTTGGTAATATTCGATCGGTTGTGAGCTGCTTATCCTGTGCTCCCATTTAAGAAGCGTAATGTTATGCTGTTTAAACAATATCTGCTAGGGTCTTATCGTAGGGACCACCACCTGGGCACAAGGGGTTCTCGGAATGCAACCACTTATTGAAGATTAAGAAATCGATTTGCCACGTGAGAGCCGAGTAATACTGGCATGGTTAAAGTCAGCACATTGTAGTCAACCTATCCAGACTCCGGCTTGTCTAATGTATGACCTGCAAGCCATGGTCACCCGAACAAAACAACCTCTTTCTACTCAACTCATCTAACCCCCTTTTCCCTCTCGCCGGAGCTCGTCGAAACTGCCCACTTCCTGGCTAGCGAATCGCTACAACAACAACAACAACAACACATCGGGAAGTAAGTACTTCTCTCTATGGACTTCTAAGGATGCTGAAATCATATCATACACTCGCTGGGCAGAACGGCATATCGACTGGCCCTCAACTTGATTCAGAACGCGACAGAGGACACCGGCACAATCAAAACACGGTTATTAATTATCCAGACTCAACCCGCATTCAATTATTTCCCGCTTACTCAAACAGCTCGTTGTTAGTGGCCCCCTGCGGGTTAGGGGCTCAGGAATTTACCCGCAGTAAGGCATGCCTGTCGTAAGAGGCGATCAAAATCCAATAGTTCCCGCGACAGTCGGGTCTTTATACCGGAACGACCCGGATTTTTTTCCGGCCAAGGACTGTCACTCCCGCAACATTCCCCAAAATTACTTTGGGCAATTTTTTTGCGGTTACAACAACAATAACAACAACAAGTGGCTCGTGGAGGCCCAAAGCCTTTTATTCGCTTCCATAGCCCGAGTTCTGTTCTGGTCCACGTTAATACCAATAACGAAGTACTGTACCCTTAAAGGTGCAAAAAGACCACCACCCTGAGCAACAAGCCCATCTACCATACTGGAATTTACAATATTCATACGTACAAACAAATAAATTCCTAATGGTCACACTCTTACTTTTAAAAAGAGCCAAGTTTGAACCGAAATGCCCATTAAAATTGAACCAGTTTGGTGAAATTCCTAAAAGGGTGTATTCTTGCCGACAAACCGCATACACATAACCTCGTATGTATACACATGGTATGTATGGTACACACTTACATATACATTTAAGTACCAAGCGAATTAGTCAGTATATTTACTGTTTAATATTCGTATGTACATATGTATGTTTGTATGTATGTGTTTGTATTATTTTTTGCCATATTACTATGTCTATCTTCTACATAAATATACACATATTTACATAGGAATATTTGTACATACATACATATGTATATGCATGTGAAATTATTCACTTCGCTGGGCGAATACGCGAAGCTACACGTAGAGCGATCAAAGTCCACGTTGGTTTTATTCATTTGTCCGCCAGAAAAAAAAGATCATGACGAATTTATTGTGAAACCAAATAAATATTTTTAAGAGTAGAAGGCTTGAGAGAGTACGGCGTATGTTCAAAATGGCATAAGAGTGCTGCTCCGAAGAGAAAAAGTGAAGAGAAATTTAATTTTTTTTTTATTAGCAAAATGATCTGAAAATAACTGAGATGGGATTTTATGATGAATGCTTAGCACATATTCACCAAGCATGCACATACAAGTACATACATATGTATGTATTTTTGTAATTGTATAATATATGAAATGCCATTGTTCTTCTAGGCAGATCGGCAAACTCGGCATGAGAGAAATTCGAGTGCTTTGACTTAAGAAAATGAGCATCTGAGGGTGTTTGATGGTTTGATAAATTATTTTGTTGTTTTAAAAAAGTTTCGAAAATTGAGCCTCAGGAAGCTGACAATTTGCCTTAAAAAGGTTCACAATTAGGTCTGTGAGTTCCGTTAACTTCTTTCAGCCAATCAGTTACCAGGGTATGGGGGAATATTGAGTAGGTGACACAACTTGGCCGAATAAAAATTCGTTTTGTTTCGGTCTAAAGACCCGACTGCGACGGGGACTATTTGATTTTAGTCACCTCTTACAACAGGCTTGCCTTACCGTGGGTAAATTCTAGTACCCCTAATGCAGGGCTGATCCTGGGCCTAGTTTGGTGTACAAAATAATAGTACAGTGTCCAAAATGACGGGGGGTCGGGTGCGGCGGTATATTCCAAAGTTCTCAAACTCTCCCTCCCATTGCGTCTACCGAATTCAGTTAGGTTATTCAAAGTGGCAGTACTAGATATAGAAAAGGACTGTAGATCTCCTATAAATAACGTGATTAACCAAACGGCCAAACAGCTCTAAACTAACGGCCTGAACCCAAAAATCTCTGCAAATGAAGTTTCGATCATGAACAACCCAAAATTACTGGAAGTGATTTTTGACAGTCTACACTCTTTCACTGCGTGACTTTTACTCTCACCATAGAGAACTCGATCCCCATCTAGAGCAGACGAGGTCAAGTTAGCCAGTAAGACATGAAATATTCTGAAGCAACATAGGTTTGATTATTGTAGTAGACTCCGATGTTTGCAAACTTTAAAACATAGTCGCAGGGGGTTTATACTGAAAGGAGTCACCTTATATCAGCAGTGTTCAAGTCGAATTCTCAGATTTAAAAGGGTCCTGCTTACAAGTTTTCGATAAATCAGACTGTGCACAGGAAGACGCCTGAGAGAATCGAATACAGTAAATTCATTGAGTATAGAGTGATAGCCGTATTTGATACTTGAGCGAGATGAAAGTAAATCGACTTTTCGGCCGAAAGATCGGTGATGGAACTATTATAAAGAGAAGCAAGAGGAAAACTTATTTATAAGTTCTCTCACAGGACATGTACACTAGGTACTTAGAAAAAAGTCTACATTGCATCAGATTCCACTTAATACAATGTTATATATTTAATTGCAGACGGAGGGAGCAAATGACTCAAGTTCGCAGATTAAGCTTTGTATATCTTATATACGAATTTAAAACCAGTTGGGACTGCAGTACACAGCCGGAGATAAGAAGGCCATTCAGACTGTTAAGCCACTGCAATTTCTTCGAAGCCGATATCCAAGCGGCCGTTGAGGTCTTAATTTTATATCGCAAGAAGTCCGATCAAAAGGCTGACGGAGACAAGAAAAGTCCGCCTTTTATGGGTACTCTGGTAAGGGCGTTAAAGGCAATTTTAAATTGGTTAATGGTAGAGTTCTTTCACAACAGTAAGTATCATTGGACTTGAGAGTTCCTCTCAAAGAAGCCAACAAGAAACACGAAACTTGTATCTTCCAGCTAAAAGAACTTTCAATTTGATGCGAAGCTTAATAAGTTCTTATTAACGACAAGGATATTAGAATTCTCCCCAGTTGGTAGAACTTTCAGGGGTGCATTGCCAAAGATTCGTAAGATTATTCAATATTAATGCGTTTAATGTTGTATGACATAAAATGAAAGATTTTTTACCGGCAGTGCCATGCAGACAAGTGAA